TCTTTTTTCTCCTCTTTTTTCTCCTCTTTTTTCCTCCTTTTTTCAAGTTTTTTCCCCTTTTTTCTCCTCCTTTATTCAGATTTTTTCCCCTTTTTTCTCCTCTTTTTTCCTCCTTTTTTTCAATTTTTCCCCTTTTTTCTCCTCCTTTTTTCCAATTTTTTCCCCTTTTCCCCCTTTTTTCTCCTCTTTTTTCAGATTTTTTCCCCTTTTTTCTCCTCTTTTTTCTCCTTTTTTTTAATTTTCCCCCTTTTTTCTCCTCTTTTTTCAATTTTTTCCCCGTTTTTCTCCTCTTTTTTCAGATTTTTCCCCTTTTTTCTCCTCTTTTTTCCTCCTTTTTTCCAATTTTTCCCCTTTTTTCTCCTCCTTTTTTTCAAATTTTTGCCCTTTTTTCTCCTCTTTTTTCCTCCTTTTTTTCAAATTTTTCCCTTTTTTCTCCTCTTTTTTCCTCTTTTTTTTTCAATTTTTTTCCCCATTTTCCCTCCTTTACTCTCATTTTTTCCCTTTTCCCCCTTTTCTCACCATTTCCCCCCCTTTCCTCCCTTTCTCCCCCTTTTTCCCCCCATTTTTTCCCCCCTTGATTCCCATTTTTCCTCCTTTATTCCAATTTCTTTCACTTTTTTCCACCCTTTTCCCCCATTTTTTCCCCTTTTTTCCCCCATTTTTCCCATTTCCCCCCCTTTTTCCCCTCCTTTTTTCCCATCTCTTTCCCTTTATTCCCATTTGGAATTCTGGTGGTGAAATCCTTTGAAAAAACGGGAAAATTCGGAGTTAAAAATCCTCAGAAAATGAAAATTTTTTAGGGAAAATCTCTGAGGGGAGCAGGGGGCGTGGCCAATAGGGGGCGTGTCCACAGCTCATTCCCATATATGGGCATACAGCGGGCGTGGCCTCACTTCACCCACTCCCTTATGTGGCTCTGTGGGCGAGGCTAAGCGTCATGCCCATATATAGCTACAACACGGGGCGCGGCTTCACGGCCGCACCCACATATGGCGCTTATAGGCGTGGTCACAGCGCGGGTTAGCCAATCAGCGCGCGTGTGGGCATGGCCAGCGTGAGGCGCCTGAGGGAGAAGGGCGTGGCCTGCCGTGAGGGCGGCCCAAGATGGCGGCGCGGCCGTGGCCGCTGCTGCTGCTGCTGCTGCTGGCGGGGCCGGGCCGGGGCCCGGGCGGCTCCTCCGGGCGGCTCCGCCTGGGCCTGGGGCCCGGCCCGGCCGCCGGCTACTTCCCCGAGGAGCGCTGGAACCCGGAGTCGCCGCTGCGGCCGCCGCGCGTGGCCGTGGCGCTGCTGGCGCGGAACGCGGCCCACTCGCTGCCGCTGGTGCTGGGAGGGCTCGAGAGGCTGAGGCACCCCAAGGACAGGATGGCGCTGTGGTGGGTCTGGGGACATGGGGGACACTGGGGGACACTGGGGACATTGTGGGGACACGGCATCCCCCGGACACGATGGCGCTGTGGTGGGTCTGGGGACATGGGGGACACTGGGGGACACGGCACCCCCAGGACAGGATGGCGCTGTGGTGGGTTTGGGGACATTGGGACACTGGGGACATTGTGGGGACACGGCATCCCCCGGACACGATGGCGCTGTGGTGGGTCTGGGGACATTGGGGGGACACGGCACCCCAAGGACAGGATGGCACTGTGGTGGGTCTGGGGACACTGGGACATTGGGGACATTGGGGGGACCTGTGTGAGTGAGGGGAGTGTGGGGAGCGCTCAGGGAGGGGATCCATGTGTGACACTGTCCCTGTGTGACACTGACTGTGTGTGTGGACCCCGTGTGACCCCGTGTGACACTTTGTGTCCCCGTGTCCCCTCAGGGTGGCCGCTGACCACAGCGTGGACAACACCTCTGCTCTGCTGGCCGAGTGGCTGGGCCGCGTGCGGGGCCGCTACCACCGCGTGCTCTGGAGGCACCAGGAGGAGCCCACGTGGGTCTGGGGGCTTCGGGGGGCTCTGAACCGCCTCTGGGGGGCTCTGACACGTTTGGGGGGGCTCCCACACTTCTCTGGGGGGCTCAGACACATTTTGG